ACATAATAAGCCAAACCAAAAATCAAGTTACAAAATCATTTAATGGGCTGTGCAGGTCAAATCAAAACCAAAGCTAAAATTCTTATTTCATCTCAGACTGCAAATGAAACAAAACCAAAACTAAAACTGTGATTAATTTTTGTTTCACTTTCAGTTCAGCAAACAGAGCAGCATCTCATTTCTTTTCTTGAGTTGGGGAAGTTGGAAGTGTTTGCATAAGATCTGTTAGTTTTTTAATGCTTTTGGTTTTAAGTAGTCACAATAATGCCTAATCAGAAAAAAAAACCCTAGTGTGTGGCATCATTATAGTGAAGTTCAAGCCACTGAAGGAAGGAAGAAAGCTGGTAGATGTAAATATTGTGGGCAGGAGCATGCTAATAATGCAACAAGAATGAAGAAACATTTAATAACATCTAGAAACTGTCCTGAAAGAGTACAACCCATATACAGAAAGCTAATACAATGAAGAGGTGGAACAACATCCGAGAAAAGTCTGCTTCAGGAATCCTATGCAAGTAAACAAATTACTATGTTAAACAACACATAGTATAGACTACCACCTATATTAAAATATTATAATTTTAAAAGTTGCTAACGCAACTCTGGACTATTATTTATTTATTTATTTAAAGTATCTGTATCCTCCAAAGTGGCTTAGGCTTAACAATACTTTTTCAAAAAAATTACATAATAGATAAATAGTTAGCTATTTCAACCCACCAGAGCAAGCTTAGTTCTCTGGAGTATGGCAGAGGCCAGACTATACTTCCCTTTGGCTCTGCAGTCCCAGGGCAACTGGAGAGCAAGCTGAGCAGCAGAGTGTTTTTTTCTGGCAGGGAGGGGGAAAGCAAGCTCCCTACTGCTTCTCCTTCTGATGGATAAGGCCAGACTAAAATAGGCTAAAATAAAAATCTTTCCCCGCTTTTGTTGCAGGAACTTGGTAGCTCAAGTGAAATAGCAGATTTACAAAAAATGGAACGTGAAAATGTTGAGCTATCAAGTCCAGGGGAAAAAGAAGCAGGATCCTTGCTTTCAAGATCATGGTCACCAGATATGCGGTCCACCATAAGTAGCTGTTCAAGACAGTCAAGCTTTTTATCAAGCTTTGTGGAGAAAAATGTCAAAAAAAGATAAAGAAAAAGCAGATGAGACATTAGCTCGAGCTATATTTGCAAGTGGTACACCTCTTCCCATAACTGAAAATCAATACTGGAAGGAACATTACAAACGTTAGGGGTTGGCCTAGATGACCTCCTGAGGTCCCTTCCAACCCTAATTTTGTATGATTTTTTGTATGAAACTAATTCGCCATCACATTCTCTCTTAGAGAGTATGACAGAGTTCAAACAATGGTTATTCAGAGAATTGGTCAAGCAGAATCACTGACTCTGATGTCACATGGATGGACTGATATACAAGGAAATCCTTTATTGAACATTATGTTAGCAACACCTGAACCAATACTCCTGAAAGCAATTGCTACCAAATCTTCTAGTCACACAGGTGAATACATAACTAAATTACTGAGTGAAGAGACTGGAAGTGCAGGTCCCTCCAGGGTACAAGCCCATGTAACTGATAATGTGAATAACGTGAAAGCTGCATGGCAAATATTAAAGGCAAAGTATCCTCATTTAATAGTACTTGGCTGTCTTGCTCATGGGTTGAATCTTCTGGCAAAGGACATAGTAAGTGTAAATACAACGAAGACAATATTGGCAAACTGCTAAGTGATTGTGAAGGTATTCAATAATCATCATGTTGCTAATCAGACTTTGAAGAAATTACAGAAAGAGAAGCAGGGAAAGGAAAGTGCACTTTTATTGCCAGGAGAGACTAGATGGGCTCAGCTACAAAGTGTTTACATAGTCTGCTGTGCACAAAGAACTGGTTGCAGCATGCTTCAATAGATGACACAGTATCCCAGATTATTCCCGTGAACATTTGGAAGCAGATTCTTGACAAAATGTGTTTTGGGTTTGAGTTCAAGGAGCATTCAATGTGCTACTACCAGTCTCAGTGGCTATCAAGAAACTTGAAGGAGATACACCAAGCCTTTCAAATATTTCAGAGATATTCAGACAACTGAATGAAAATCTAATGAGCTTTTGCCTTCTTCACCTCTATACAAAAGAGTAAGTAGTAGTAAAACAAATGTTTACTAAGAGATCCGAGTTTTGCTCTCATCCAGTTCATCTGGCAGCAAACCTTTTGGATCCTCAACACAGAGGACAGCATTTATCTAAAAATGAATTATCTACCGCTCTCGATACAATTATGGAAGTAACAAAGAATGTCCCCAACATCAACGAAATGGCAATGTCTGTCATCATGGCTAAGTACCATGCAAAAGAAAAACTTTGGAGCAAAAACATCACTTGACAGGCAGCAGAGAATACATCTCCTATCACATGGTGGAAGGGATACTGTAACACCAGACTGCTGTCCACCATTGCTCTAAGGATCCTAACCATTCCACCAACAGCAGCTTTTTGTGAACGGAACTGGAAGGCTTTTGGCTCAATCAAGACAAAAAAAGAGGAATACACTAACAAACGAATGCACTGCTAAGCTTGTTTCTATTTCTCAAAATCTCTTGCTTCTGGAGAATCAGTCAGAAGCACAATTAGTGAAGAAGACATAGCGTGATAAGTTATCCTTGCCCATAGACTCATTGGTAAAACCACCCTTTAGCAAAAGAGAACGTGGTTCAAGTAGTTCTGAAACAGATTTGCCTCAATAAGTAGTGTAAGTAGTGCAAGTGATTCTACAGATAGTGAGAATGAAACTGGAGGAGTCACAATTACCTCAGTGGAAGAGAATTAAACTCTGTTGAAGTAGATCAATGGACTACTACGGCACATCCTGCACAGTTCTTTGGGCGTGCTAAAATTAGTGCGTCAACAGTTTTCAGAGCCTTTGTTTGTTTAAATTTAAGAAAAAAAATGATGTAAGGGAAGTCCATGCTATTGTGTATTGTCTTTACATGTTTACAAGTATTCCAATAAAAATAATCTCTTTCCACATAAAGCTTTGAATTTGTTTGAATATAACATTTAAACCACATTAAGTGTGCTGAATTTATTTGTTTTCCTAATCAAATATTTCAGTTCAAATACTTGTGGTTATTGGGACATAAAATTAACATGGGGGTACTTTTTTAGTTTTGTTTACTAAATACAAGTCAAATAAACATGCTAAAATCAGACCATGATCTATTTAGGCATTGGAAAATTTTCCATTTCAAAATTTTCTGAAAAACCCACATTTCTGGATTCTGCCCTGCTAGAATCCAATAAATGCCAGATGCCCCTAAGCATTTTAGAGATTTGGTGAGCTCATGAATAGATGCAATTTTTTTTTTTTTTACACTTTACTCCATAAATGAGCAACCATAGGGGTTTGAGAATGAGAGTCTTTGTGTTATGGTATACATTATTCCCCACAAAATCACCATGATCTTATGTGTTCAACATCTGGCATCCTGTCTATTAGCTACCCATTCAGGCAGCTGCTCCTCTCTCTAATTCCAGAGAGAGAATCTGGAATTTCTGCTTGTGATGTTACAAGTTAGGTTCACCATTAAGCATTTTCTTCCATAATGGACTGCCTGTTCCTACAGTCAAAGAAGGCAGCTGCTACTTGCTACAGGAGAGATCAAAGAGCTGTTTAAAAAGAGCACCCACAGAGTTTACAAGCCAAGTGGGACAGATAACACAGCTTAGAAATATCACTGGTTTCAAAACAATATGAAGTCTAGCTGCATCGCTTTGTACACTGGGGTAGTACTGAAAGCCGCGTAGGG